TCAACAGCCTACACCCAAAAATACAGTTCACCATGGAAACAGAAACTAACAACCAACTTCCCTTCCTGGATGTCTTAGTCTACAAGAAATCCAATGGCTCCCTAGGACACACCATCTACCAGAAGAAAACACACACAAACCGCTATCTGCACGCTCTCTCAAACCACCACCCAGCACAGATCAACTCTGTAGCCAAGACACTCATCTCCAGAACAAAACGCTTAGCTGACGAACAACACCTAAAACCCGAACTAAACACTCTCACCAATGTAATAACATCCAATGGATTCCATAGAAATAAGATTACAAACCTAATCCAAAAAGAAACCCCCACTAAAATCCAAGACAAAGAACAAGAAAACGGCAAAGCCCTCCTCCCATACATAAAAGGCACCACAGACAGAATCAGTAAGATCCTCCATAAAAACAACATCAAAACATCATTCTGCACAAACAGAAAAAATATTTCCCACCACCCTATCCTTTTTAGAAACCCCAAAGAACAACAAAGATAAAAATTGAATTAGAAAATCAAGGGAGTATACGAAATCCCATGCAGACACCACTTGTCCACCTACATAATCGGGAAAACCAACAGAAAGAATAAGTGCACGCATGAGAACATAAGAACTCAGTCAAAAAAGAGGAACCAACATCTTCCCTGGTCCAACACCTTAAAGCCACAGGACATGAAATTGACTTTAAAAATACCAGAACCATTGCAAAAAGTGAACATTTTAATAACAGAATAATCAGAGAAGCCATCGAGATAGAAAAACGCCCACACAGCATGAACAAGCGATATGATACCTCCCGCCTACCAGCCATTTGGAAACCTGCCCTTATTGAAAAACGACTCCCTAACCCCAAAATCTTAAACCCCTCTGCAACTCAGACTAACCTGAGCACAACCAAACAGAACACTCCCCCAGCCAATCAGAGTACAGCCAAGCCCCTAACCATTCAGAACACACCTCCACCCAATCAGAACACAGCCCAAGCTCCCATCAATCATGTTCATACCACACTGGCAGTTAAAAGGAAGAAACAGCTAAAACCACACATTGAGCTCAAAGCAAAGAAGCTAAAAACACCAGCCTGAAGATGACGAATGTGACTTCGTCGAAACGTTGCCAAGACACTTCCAATTTTACGCGGGAGAAAACCCGAACAACCCAAGACCTATATACAAATACCCGCGAAAACCTCAGAAAACAAATATCGAACCTCTACGGGGAGGAAATCCACCATCTGACCAGGACCTATGAAAAACTTGAAGTCCAAAGAGCTTCCATTTTATGTGACATCGCATTCCTACGTAACTGCCGAGATCAAAATCTAATCCCCACATGTTTCCAACTGAAATTCCACTCCAACTCTGCAGCCACCAAACGTATCCTGAAAAGAACAGAATTGGCCCTAATCAGAAATGAACTTCACACAAAAAGATTCCCCCTAGACCGAATTAACAAAGATCTCCTCACACTTCACCTCAAACTCAGCAACAAGATCCACCCTGCACTTTGGGACAAATCCAAACAACTCGCCGTCTGGAGAGCCAAAACACAGACCACCCTCAAGACAGACACACATACCAAAAAACTCCGAAGACTACAAGAATGCCAGAAACAAACCCCTCCTCCCTCACAGCCACACATGAAACAAACAGTGATAAACATCTCAGATAGGTCCTCACCAAAGCCGAACAATGTCCTTCAAAAGGATATCAACTGTTGACAGTCGCTCCCAAAACAAATCCCCACTGAAACCATATAGGTGGAGTTGAAACCAGCATGACCAAAATCAACCCGATGACGCAACAAACAGACTTCAAAATCACAACACTCCTCGCACCGCAAGGCCACCCAAAAGCAACTTACCCAAAGAGGAACAGACAGCACTACGTAACCTGAAAGAAGACACCAGCATAATAATCCTACCAGCAGACAAGGGCAACGCCACGGTGGTTATGAACACATCTGACTACCAACCAAATTAACCAACCTACTCCAAGACTCCACATACAAACCCCTAAATACAGATCCCACCACCTACCTGGAAAAAACCACCAGATCCAAAATAAAAGCCTCCCCCATTAGCGAAGAGATCCAGCAAAGAATCATTCCCAGAGAGAAATCATCCAGATGCCCCAAACTCTATGGTCTCCCCAAGATACACAAAGAAGGAACCCCACTCAGACCTATAGTCAGCTCCATAGGCTCACCTCTACAAAACCTAGCCAAATTTCTCGCCAAACAACTACAGCCCTATGCAGAATCCATCACCTCACACGTAAAAAACTCATTCCAGTTTATAGAGATCATAAAGAAACAAAGCTTACAGCCCAGCGACCTACTAGTGAGCTTCGATGTCATATCCCTCTTCACCCAAGTGCCTATCAAAGAAGCCTTGACAGCTATTCAAAACAAATATAACCCCCCCAAACACATCTTAGATCTGACCAACCACTGCCTATCCAACACATACTTCATCTATAATGGACAAAAATACAAACAAACAGAAGGAGCACCCATGGGATCACCCCTCTCACCTGTCATTGCCAACCTCTACATGGAACACTTTGAAACCCAAGCTCTAGAAAAATCGGATCACAAACCCAAACTCTGGCTCAGATATGTAGACGACACCTTCATAATCTGGCCACATGGGAAAGAAAAACTGGACAACTTCCTCACACACCTCAACAGCCTACACCCCAAAATACAGTTCACCATGGAAACAGAAGCTAACAACCAACTTCCCTTCCTGGATGTCTTAGTCTACAAGAAATCCAATGGCTCCCTAGGACACACCATCTACCAGAAGAAAACACACACAAACCGCTATCTGCACGCTCTCTCACACCACCAACCAGCACAGATCAACTCTGTAGCCAAGACACTCATCTCCAGAACAAAACGCTTAGCTGACGAACAACACCTAAAACCCGAACTACACACTCTCACCAATGTACTAACATCCAATGGATTCCATAGAAATAAGATTACAAACCTAATCCAAAAAGAAACCCCACCAAAATCCAAGACAAAGAACAAGAAAACGGCAAAGCCCTCCTCCCATACATAAAAGGCACCACAGACAGAATCAGTAAGATCCTTCATAAACACAACATCAAAACAGCATTCTGCACAAACAGAAAAATATCCACCATCCTTAGAAACCCCAAAGATAAAATTGAATTAGAAAATCAAGGAGTATACGAAATCCCATGCACCACTTGTCCCACCACATACATCGGACAAACCAACAGAAGAATAAGTGCACGCATTGAAGAACATAAGAACTCAGTCAAAAAAGAGGAACCAACATCTTCCCTGGTCCAACACCTTAAAGCCACAGGACATGAAATTGACTTTAAAAATACCAGAACCATTGCCAAAAGTGAACATTTTAATAACAGAATAATCAGAGAAGCCATCGAGATAGAAAAACGCCCACACAGCATGAACAAGCGAGATGATACCTCCCGCCTACCAGCCATTTGGCAACCTGACCTTATTGACAAACGACTCCCTAACCCCAAAATCTTAAACCCCTCTGCAACTCAGACTAACCTGAGCACAACCAAACAGAACACTCCCCCAGCCAATCAGAGCACAGCCAAGCCCCTAACCATTCAGAACACACCTCCACCCAATCAGAACACAGCCAAGCTCCCACCCAATCATTTCATACCCTCACTGGCAGTTAAAAGGAAGAAACAGCTAAAACCACACATTGCTGCTCAAAGCAAGAAGCTAAAAACACCAGCCTGAAGATGACGAATGTGACTTCGTCGAAACGTGCCAAGACACTTCCAATTTTACGCGGGAGAAAACCCGAACAACCAAAGACCTATATACAAATACCCGCGAAAACCTCAGAAAAAAACAATATATATATATATATATATATATATGTTTTCTGAGGTTTTCGCGGGTATTTGTATTTAGGTCTTTGGTTGTTCGGGTTTTCTCCCACGTAAAAAGCAGCTGCTCGAGGCACGAAGCTGAAAGCACCAGCCTGAAGATGACGAATGGGACTTCGTCGAAACGTCGCCAAGACACTTCCAATTGTACGTGGGAGAAAACCCGAACAACCAAAGACCTACATATATATATATATATATATATATATATATATATATATATATATATATATATATATATATATATATATTGGTGCTTTGCATTTTAATTTTCCTTGAATAATCTAAATACTCTACAAAAAATAAAAAAAAACAAATTAAAAAAAAGACCCAAAGCAGTTATCAATAGTAGGTCAACCCTATCTAAAGCCAGGTTGTTCATCTGCTTGGAATTCATGCTTCCCTTTTTCTCTCTCTTTTTCCTCTTTCTCCGATCTCCTGTCCACGGTTATCCCCCACCTCCTACCACAGCTTTATCTCCATTTTTCCAACATCCAGAACCCCAGTCTGTGCAAGAAAATGGCATGGCTCGTTTTGAGTGTCGGATCAAGGGTTTGCCTGCTCCAGTCATAACTTGGCAGAAGGACAAGGAGGCGGTGCCTTCGGAACCAAGGTGAATTGTGCAGGGTTCACCCATTGCATCACACACAACAGAGTTAGCTAAGTTGGAATGTGAAGCTTCATGGGTTATGGTTTTCAAGCTGTGGTATGTGCCTTAGCTTGCTGCTTGAATGTAGTTGTGTCAACTGACAAGTTTATCTCTGGATTGTCAGAACAGTCCATGGTGTCTATCTATGACCAGTTCTAAGAGAGTCTTAAAGGGATACAAAACACAGAACTGGATGATACAGTAGTTAGAATGCAGCATTGCAGGCAAACTCTGCCCACTGCCAGCAGTTCGATCCTGATGGGGCTCAAGCCGATGGTCGGCCTGCTCCGTCTCTGCCGCTTGCCAGCTACGCCTCGGCCGGCGCAGGGGGCGGCACCACGCATGCGCAGCACTCCCAGGCAGGGAAAGTTCTCGACTTACGATCGGTTGGGTAGTCCTTGACTTACGACCAGTTTAGTCCTCGACTTACGACCGGTTTAGTCCTCGACTTACGACCGGTTGGGGGTTGCGGCATTAAAATGGTTGAGAACCACTGGGTTAGACAGACCTGGCTCCCTCAACCATTCAAATCATAGAAATTAGCCTCCAGATCCTTTATCATCTTTGCTGCTCTTCTTTGCACACTTTCTAAGGTCTTCTTGCATTTTGAGTTGATCCGGTGTGGACATTAATCTTTCCTCTTCATCCTCCTGTTCGTAGGTTCATTGTCCTTCCAAGTGGTGTCCTTCAGATCACAGATGTTCAAGAGGGGGATGCTGGAGCCTATCGTTGTGTGGTGACCCATGCAGCAGGAAGACGCTACAGCCTTAATGCCCCCCTCACTCTCTTGAAAGGTACATTTTAGAAATTTGGGTGAGGGGCTGAATTATGAGAGGCTACCTCTAACACTTTTCTCTTTCAGCCTCAGTTGCTTCCATCTGTTGCATGAATAGAATAGAATAGAATAGAATAGAATAGAATAGAATAGAATAGAATAGAATAGAATAGAATAGAATAGAATAGAATAGAATGATAGGAAGGGGATGGAGTACATTTACTGAGACACACAGTGTTTTCCCTTAGCTGCATTTGCTCAATTGTGTTCACACGTTCAACTAAGTCATAATTTGTTTAACCATAGTTTTTTGAATAAGCCCCTGTTGATTGTGTTCGTATGTTATACTAAACCAGTGTTTCTCAACTTGGCTGGCTGTGGAATTCTGGGAGTTGAAGTCCACATGCCTTAAAATGGTCAAAGTTGAGAAACACTGTACTAAGCCATCATAAACCATGATTTACAAACCACAAGAGCAAGGTTCTCACAACACGCTGGAGTAAATTCAAATTAGGTCACATTATATGAGAAACCTGCCTGGGAAGATGTATATTATGACATAATCTTGAAAATGAGGACAATTATTCCATTATTTTGTTTTAATCATGTTCACAATGATATCATGGCATTCATGAGGTTGTCTGCCTCCTTCTGCCTCCTCAGAGACACCCACACTGGAAAAAAAAAATTTTTTTACACATTTTCCCAATTGGAAAACTTAGGTCTGGGGAAGAATGCTTGGGCTGAAAACTGAAAATAGAGATTTTATTAAAAAATCCATTGGTAAAAATACGTGCCAAGAAAATGACAGCGAACCCATGTTTCTCTGTTTCCTAAAGCATTAATTGACAACTGCAGTTTTAAACTGTCACCAAGCCCTAGGAGGAAAATGTGTTTCTCACATTTTGCTCCTCCAGCCTCAGTCCTTCAGTGCCAAAGCAGACAGAATATGGATGAGAAGACACATCTGTGCATGATGAATGCTTGATTTGGCTGCTTTTCTTGTCTGGCTGTCTTTTTAAAGTTTGGGACCTCGAAAATGGTTGACATCTTGACATCTCCAGCAGGTGGCTAAGCTGCTTGCTGGCTGTCTACTTTCCAAAGCCATCAGGGGTGGCCAAGGGCAGCTGATGGAATTCTCCTTAGTTCTAGGTTCATTCTCTCCGTGATTAGTTTCCATCCATTGCTTCTTGTTCTGCCTTCAGATGCCTTGGAGAATAGTCTAACCCTTTTCTTTGTGGCAGCCCCTCAAATATTGGAACAGTGCTGTCATGTCACCCCTAGTCCTTCTTTTCTCTAGATTAGGCACACACAATTCCTGCAACTGTTCTTCATATGTTTAAAAAAACTTTGTTTTGCTTCTATGGATGCTTTTTTTTTTCTTGGATTAAATGCTATTTTAAAGCTGAGGTTGAAAAGGTCATGTTGTGATGTTTTCTGCCTTCCTGGTAGCAAGGACTTCAGCAGTTGTTACTCACAGGGCAGATGTACAAAGGCTGGGCAGACTTCTCCATATTAAGTTCCGGACATTTTGGGGGAAGCTGCATTCCGAAGTAGAATTGTTGAGGGTAAGATGCTGACATAAACTACTCAGAAGTGTGGTAAAGCACCATACATGTAAGTCTAAATGGTAGCGGTAGTGCTATAAATTTAATTCAGAAATAAAAATTGTGAGTCAGAAAAGAGGCTTCCAGACTCCTTCTGATACAGAAGAAGGTATTTTCTCTTTAACCCAGCCTTCCATGGAAGGACCACATCCGATTCTCCAGCCCTAGTTTGGGATTCCATGCCCTGCAGTGCACCACAGCCCTGTGTACGGCACATCATATTCAGATTGGCTCTCAGCAATCTTGGATTGCTCAACGTTGCTGAAAAAGAGATGGATCTCTCTTAAGTTCCTACTTTTAGCAGCTCACAAGGCAGAGGAAAAAAAAAGACAAAACAACTAAGTAGGCCTGGTGCTTAGCTGTGAACTTCCTCATCATTTTCCTGAACAGAAGCTTGAAATTGTGTTGAAATTGCCCTCACCCCAACCCCCCCATAACCTCCCTGGGGATGGATGGGTTCAGGCTTTGAGCAGCTGTTTCAGAGAGGAGAGAGAGAAAAAGATCCATCTGTGATTTTTTTCTTTCTTTCCTGGTTGCTCAGAAAGCGAGAAGGCAGCAGTTGACGGTGATACGCAAATGTTTTGCAAATGCTGCTGGTTTTGACAGCCTTTCAAGAGAGGCAGTACAGGCGGGCTTTGATCTTATGCTTGTAGGTGCCATTTTGACTTTTTTGACCCCCTGTGAACACCCCAGAAAGGATGACAAGCCCAAGGACAGACTAACATGGTGAGAGAAATTAAACACAGATTTCTATATGAACCATCTTATTTTATCTCGAAAGGATTTTGCAAGCACGAATCGATTTAATTAGGAAAATTGGTTGGTAGGGGGAAGATTTAATTATTGGGAGAGAACTGAGAATTAAATCTGTATTTGTTTACTCCCTCTTCCTCCTCCTCCTCCTTCTATAATCCAGTTGGGGTTTTTTTGGGGGGGGGGGAGAGAAAAGCACCTTTGAGATACCACTTGGAGAATTTCATAAGCATCCTGGGACTAAAGTTCAAAACCAGAAAACTGTCACAGTGGACAGAAGTTCTTGCATTTGTACATGACGCAGATTTTATAAGAGTGTTAATCTCTATCTAAGACCTTCATTCTCATGCAAACCTTGAGCACTGGACTCAGCAAACGCAATTAAGATATGCTTTGGATAGAAGATATTGTAAACTGATATTACTGATACCTTTAGAAAAATATAACAAATGTTGATAGGCAATTGTATATTTACTTACAACAATAAGAACTGCATTTGCTTAGTGTGGAAAAATGTCTATGACCAGAAGAACAGAGGATGTACTGAAGGGTGTAATATTGGATTAAGTTTGAAGAAGCTTACATGTACCATGGAATTACTAATGGACTCAGTCATCACGTTGTTTAACTAGGCACTTGATTGTAAAAATAGAAAATTAATAAAATATTTATATATTCAAAAAAGAAAACTTTTCTTTTTCTATGATGCTTTAGTGAAATGGTTCTGATGGAAATATGTGTATGGGGGAATGAAGGAAAAAAAGAAAATCTGAATTTTGTTGCCCTAGGTCCCCAACAACCAACGATGGGTGATGTGGTCATTGTCACTGCGCCAGAGAATGCTACAGTGGTGGTTGGTGAGACTGTTGTAATGGAGTGTGTCGCATCGGCAAATCCCACCCCTTTCATCTCTTGGATACGGGAAGGTAAATGAAGTTAATTCCTCTTCTGATGCTAAGAGGCCTTTCCAAGACCTTTTTGTCTTAAACCCCCAGTCCATGGACTGGTACTGAGCCACAGCATGCCAGCAACCAGTCCACACAAACAAGCAAAGCCCCATCCGTGGGAGGCAGGCAGCACACAAAACCATGTACTGTCCAGTCTGTGGAAAAACTTCTCTCCACGGAACTGGTTCATGGTGCCCAAAAGGTTGGGGTTCTCTGCCTTAGAAAATCAGGGGAGATATTTGCAGAATCCTACATTAGATGTCCTACCTACCAGTAGAACAAATAATGCATGCCTACACAAAGTTGGCTGGGCACCTTTATAGAAATTAAAATGGGTGGAGAAGATATATGTAGTGTCGATGTATTAGAAACACAGACATGGTTCAGGCAGCGTTATCTGTGGCAAAGCTGAGTATGTTCAGGTTTAGGGGTCTTTGTGCCAGACGCAAAGAATCAGGACCACGTGTAAGGTTGCAGCAGACTTATTCAAGAATCTTGTCACCTAAAATTCAAGACTAAATTGGCACCAGATAAGGGTCAATGAAATTCAGGAGGAGTTGGACTTTGATGTGCTTTTGGGAATGCAACAACTCTAAACTTACGACGTGCTTAATTCCACCCTCCCAGCTCTGCTTGTTTTTCACCTATACTTGGTACCCCAAGTAAAGTTCTGATGGTCTGCTTTTCCTTTAAAGATGGGAATCCCATTTCTACGGATGTGATCGTGTTAGGACGGACCAACCTCGTGATCATTTCTGTTCAGCTTCATCACGCAGGAGTCTATGTATGCCGGGCCAACAAACCCCAAACCAGACAGTTTGTAACAGCTGCAGCTGAACTCCGAGTCCTTGGTGAGAACACAGAACACAGCATTTCTTGTTGCCTTTGTTGTTTTTGTGAGCCTTCAGAAGGAGTATGGGATCGTCACAAAGAGTCCAGCAGAGCAGATTATTCTTTTGTTGACTCTAGCTCCCAACAACTAGATCTTTTAGGAAGGATGGAAGAGAAGTGGATTTAGATTGTCGCTTCCTTCTTATGCGTGATGGTTCAGCAGTTAAAGTCCCAAAGATGTATTTTTACGAGCCAACTGGACTTTCTTTTTTCTCTTTGAGGACATTTCATTTCTCATCCAAGAAGCTTCTTCAGCTCTAACTGGATGGTGGGGCTGAAGACGCTTCCTGGACAAGAAGCAAAACATCTTCAAAGAGAAAAAAGAAAGTTCAGTTGCCTTGTGAAAAAACACCTTTGGGACAACCAAGACCTGGATGACTGAGAAATCTCCATAGACATCCAGCAGTTAAAGACCCTGAGTTCGTGAGTTGGAGAGCTGACAGCCTGGGATTGAGAACCGAGGTTGTGGAGAGGATGTGTGGTGTCCCAGATAATTTTACGGACCCTGCACAAGCAATGCTTCTGTGCTATGTCCTGGATGGGAGGGAGGGAGGGAACTGCCAATGATCTCTCAGCTTTGACAAAGAGAAGGGTCTCCATTCAATCACCATGCTCACTGGGTTTTGTTTCAATCTCTTAGCTCCTCCTACCATCTCCCAGGCACCTGACACCATTTCTCGCACCCGGGCCAGCACTGCCAGGTTTGTCTGCAAAGCGGAAGGAGAGCCGCTGCCCACCGTCCACTGGACGAGGAATGGAAAGCGACTTCTGCCTAAAGGACGGGTTAAAATCCAGGGCAGCGGTACCCTAGTCATCAATCAGATTGGCTTGGATGATGCAGGCTACTACCAGTGCGTGGCTGAAAATCCCCTGGGCATGGCCTGTGCTACAGCCAAGTTGGAGGTGATTGTACGGGAAGGTCTGCCTAGCCCTCCGAAGAGAGTATTGGCGAGTTCTCTCTCCAGCACCGCCGTCTTGGTATCCTGGGAACGGCCCGAGTCCAACAGTGAGCAGATCATTGGATTCTCTCTTCATTACCAAAAAGCCTTGGGTGCGTTTCTGGTATCCTGAAGATCATGGTCTTTGAGCCAATCGTAATGCAAGGGAATTAGATTTGTATAATAACCTTTGGAAGAGAATATTCGTAGCTCAGGGTTGAAATGGGGGGGGGGTCCTTGGTGCTCTCTGAGCTGGCTTGTTTTCTTACAGACATTTCATGAGCCTGACTAGGTAACCTCATCGGTTTCCAGCACTGATGATGTTACCTAGTTAGGGTCATGAAACCTCGGCAAGAAAACAAGCAAGCTCAGAGAATATAATAACCTTGTAGGACAAGAAGCAACAGATGGAAGCTAATCAAGGAGAGAGCCAACCTAGAACTAAGGAGAAATTTCCTGACCGTGAGGACAATTAACTAGTGGTTCCTTCACTGGCTTGCTTCCAGAAGCTATGTGTGTTCCATCACTGGAGGTTTTCAAGAAGAGATTGGACAGCCATTTGTCAGGAATAGCGTAGAGTTTCCTGCTTGAGCAGCGGGTTAGACTAGAAGACCTCCAAAGCCCCTTCCAATTCTGTTATTCTGTATTCTGCATGATGATAACTATGATGTAAAGGAGTTATAAGGCCACTAAATTGGAGAGAGAATTGGAGAGTGGAGGTTTACAGTTAAAAACTCAATATGAACAAACTGCTTGAGCAGAGAGTTGGATAGAAGATCTCCAAGGTCCCTTCCAACTCTATTATTCTTTCGTTATGTTAGCAGAATGAACTTCTCAGATCAGTTGACTTCCTTGGGGACTTTCTGCACCTGGTTGGCAACTGGGCAAAGCAAACATTGAACCAGATTTTGACTTATGTTGATCCACCTTCAGGGTTATTCTCAAGTTCCCATTACCTTCTCTGTTCTGATTGATGAGGTTCTATAAGTATTTTATGAGGTCCACAATATTTGCTAAGCTTCTTCATTAAGGAGGATGCTTTAGAAATGCAGTCTTAAAGTCATTACTGTGGGTTGGAAACCATAAATTTTTAAACACATAGCATCCAGGGTTTTGAGCACTTAGTTGATTGTTAATTGAATTGATTGATTGGGTGTGTAGGCGTGAACAGCTTTTAATGCGCTTATTCATCAAAAGCAGAGAGTAACTTTAATCAAAGAAGAAGCAGCTTGTAAGGGACAGAGCTGAGAAGTTATGGACCTTTTGAAGGATTTGTGGGAGGGTGATAAAACATGGAAAGGAAAGCAGTTTGCTTCGCAAAAGCCCCTTGTACCCATTTTCATAGGGGGGGGGTGGCAGTGAGGAAGAATTGCTAGTGATGTCAACATCTTGGTGAAGTGATTTTGGTGTTCGGGGAGTGGATACTAGCAACCACTGGATGTTCTCTATCATTCATAGTTTCTTGCTAAGATGCAAATGACACCCTTTTTAGGCATAATACAGGGGGTCCTCGACTTACAACTAAAATTAAGCCCAACATTTATGTGCTAAGTAAGAAATTTGTTAAGTGAGTTTTGCTCCACTTTACAACTTTTCTTGCTTCATTTGTTAAGTGAATCACTGCAGTTGTTGAATTAGTAACATGGTTGTAAAGTGAATCTGGTTTCCCCATTGATTTTGCTTGTCTGAAAGTCTCAAAAGGGAACAGAGAAACACAATTTATTTATTGACGAATGGCTTGCAATGCCTGATTAATTTGCAACACAAAATATGGACTCACAAAAGAGCTGTACATATTAATTAACTGCTCAGTAGCAGATCTGTTGAAGGCTTCTGGCACCGTTGATGCAAATTATTTGACTCCAAGCAGCTTTTAATCAATCTTCTAATTCATACACTGGTTGATTATTATAACACGGTAAAATGAGAGTGAGATGTAGGCTGAATTAGTTGAATTAAGCACTCAGTGAAAATACTAAGATATATGCGCTATTATTAAAATTGCTATGGGAACTTAGAAGTTTACTTCAACTGCAGAAGGCTGATCTTCCTGGCTAAATCTATTTCCTTGAGTGAGTAAGGTATGATTTTTTTTCCATCTCCTGGATAAATGAAAATGGTCTATCACCATTGGAGTCATCAGAATGGGCAGTAATGAAAGTGTTCTCTTAATTTTCCAATTAGCACCCTGCCCTTTTAATATCTTCAACTGCGGAGATGAATTAGTGCTATCGTATTTCTTGGCTGTTGCTTCTCTCCTCTTCCTCAGAAACACAGACTGAAATCCTGCTCCATTCCTGGCATGGAGACCTCTCTAAGCTGGAGAGCTTTAAAAGGTTTTTAATCAACATATTCACGGAGACCTTTGCAGAAGGAATTTTAAAAGGTCAAAGGAGAGTGTTAAGATAGTCAAGATTAAAGCCCAACAGCTTTTTTTTTTTTTCATACATGATACACCTTCGCAAAAGGAGGGGGCTTCAGTTGCAGAGCGGTGGCTACCATCTTGACATTTTTAACTCCTCTCCCCCCCCCCCAAAAAACCCACCAGGATGAAAATTGTGCAGGGTCTTTTGTAAGCATCTCACAAAGCAGCTAGTTTAAAGAAAGAACAAAACTTTCTTCTTCTTCTTTTTTCTGTCTGACAGCGTTGTGTACCTTCTCCAGGTGCTGACAACGTGGAATACCAGTTTGCGGTGAATAATGACACCACGGAGTTTTCGGTGAAAGACCTGGAGCCCAACACCAACTATATCTTCTACGTGGTGGCCTATTCCCAGCTTGGAGCGAGCCGGACCTCCCCATCCATAAACGTGCAGACCTTGGAAGAAGGTTCGTAGAGTAGGAACTAAGAAGATCTACTTTGGGGTCCAACTGAAACTGGAGGTGTAAATAATCCAGGGTTTGGCTGGTCACAATGTGGTGGGATTCCACAAGATGCCCAACTATGACGAAATGGGACTGGGTGATTTGTGGTTTAGCATATTGAGTGAATTATTTATTTATTAGACTTATTTCTCACCCATCTCAGCCAGAGGTGACTCTGGACACCTCAGAAACATTAAAAACCAATGTCCTAAAGCAGTGGTTCTCAACCTTTTTAATGCTGCGACCCCCAACCCTAAGTCGAGGACTACTCAACCGGTTGTAAGTCGAGGACTACTCAACTGGTGCAGCACCGTTTGCAGAATGGGACTTTTGGCGGGCTCAGCAGGGCAGAGACAGCTGGACAATTCCTATTGGCTTTTGAAAGCCAATAGAATTAGACTCTATTCAAGAGAGTCTATTCTATTGGCTTTCAAAAGCCAATAGAATAAAAGGGAGTAGCACAGCTAAGAAAAAGGGGGAAAAAATGGCGGACTGCGTTGTTTGGCGATCCCTGTGAAATGGTTGTTCGACCCCAAATGGGGTCCTGACCCACAGGTTGAGAACCACTGTCCTAAAGTTTCTTTTTCCAAAAGACAACTGGACTTCCTTGTTTTGTTTTGTTTTTTAAACATTTCGCTTCTCATCCAAGAAGCACCTTCACTCTGTTCCGGTGTGTTCCGTGGCAAAAAAAGCACTGTGTCTTCTTGAGCAGAACCGCTGTAACTCTGATAGTCCTTTTGAGATGGCATGATCTCTTTTGTTGCTTACTTCCAGTTCCTGGTGGAGCCCCTCAGCTTTCCCTTTCCAGTACAACTCCAACTGACATCAAGGTGACATGGCTGCCTCTCCCTTCAGAACTGACCAACGGAAAGATCATTAAGTACAAAATTGAGTATGCTCCTCTCAAAGAAGGTGAAGGCCCTATAATGTGGAATGGTTGGTTATTAACCCTTTAGAACAGGAGTCTCCAAACTTGGCAAATTTAAGACTTGTGGAGTTCACCTCCCAGAATTCCTCAGCCAGCTATGCTGTCTGGGGAATTCTGGGCGTTGAAGCCCACAAGTCTTAAAGTAGAAGATTGTTTCTCCAAGTGTGGTCCAGGAACCCCTGGTATTCCTCTAAATGCCCCAAGACCCCCCCTCAGAGGCCTGTGAAATCGAAATTATTTGCTATCCTATGTCACAGTACAATTCAATGTTTTTAATACGATAAATATTGATCAGTGTAACCCATACAAACAAAATTATGGAATCCCACCTAATTTTTAAAAGTGGAAAAGAAAAAAGTTTTAAGAAATGCTGCTCTGGAACAATTCCTTCTTCCTGGTGTCCAAAAACAAAAAGTCAATATGGTCCAAAAAAAAAAGTCAGTGGGGCAATCGCAACGGTGTGAGCAAAGTCTGACAATTTCATATGTCTCACCATTATAGCTGCCCATCTTCACCTTAACCCACAAAGAGTATGTTAGGGTGATTGGTGGTTTAAAACTGAGGGGATTCCATAGTGCTGGGATGTCAAAAATTTAGGTGTGCTTCACTTGAAGCTTCTTTATATCTGGGGTTGTATTTTAGGGATGAATCTGTCCGTTGCCTTAAGATGCAGGGAGGATTAGACAGATGAAGTTACATAAATAACGCCTGGGCTCTTTTTTTTTCCTGTTAACAGATTTGATTTCTTCAACTGAGCTCAGTGGGAATGAAACACAGCTAGTGCTTCATGGATTACAGCCAAATAAAGTCTACAAAGTTCGGATTGCAGCAAGCACCAGTGTGGGCTATGGGGCTCCATCAGAATGGACGCCGCATCGCACTCCAAATCGGGACAACCAAACCCATGGTGGGTGACCTCTTCTTCAACCTCAGACCCTTCCAATTTTGATCCCGCTGATCAGCGAGTCAGTGTTTCATAGCTTTGCTCTCCTTTTTCCTAGTTCCCTTTGCCCCGACTGAGTTAATGGTCCAAGCCAAAATGGACTCGCTGTTGATAACTTGGCAGCCTCCACCCAACCAAGGCCAAATTTCGGGCTACAAGCTGTATTACCGAGAAATACCCACTGAGGAGCCCCCCATGGAGATCCCTTCAGAAGGCCCAGGGAACCGTCTTTGGAATGTCGGACCCATAAAACTGAAGAAGAAAGTGAAGCAACATGAACTGACACAATTAGGTAAGCTTTCTGGAAGAGTCCATTATCAGGGACTTGGTTGGATGGACCTTTCACTGAAAATGGGTCAAAACGAACTGGTGATTCTCGGATTGATCTCTTTAGGTCTGTTTATGGGGAGATCTATGATATGTAATTGAGGGAAGTGGTTTTTTTTCCTTTGAAAACATTTTGCTCCTCATTCGAGAAGCTTCTTCAGTTTTAACTGAATATAAATCCTTCCGTTCCCCACCAGCTTCTTGGAGAGAAGCAAAATGTTTTCAAAAAACGCCCCTCCAGGAAAATCCACTTGCCTTTTGGAACAACCTCCTGCTCAAGCAGGAGACCCTATACCATTTCAGGCAAGTGGCTGTGCAGTCTCTTAAAAAACTCCAGTGATGGAGCACCCACAACATCTGGAGGCAAGCCATTCCACTAGTTAATTGTTCTCACTGTTGGGAAGTTTCTCCTTAATTCCAGGTTGTATCTCTCCTTGATTGATTAGTTCTAGGTTGCTCTTCTCCTTGGTTAGTTTCCATCCATTGTTTCTTGTTTTGCCTTTTGGTGCTTGGAAAATAAGTTGAACCCCTCCTCTTCGTGGCAACCTCTCCAACACTGGAGTCCTTCTTTTCTCTAGATTGGCCCTACCCAATTCTTGCAACCGGTCTTCATGTGTTTTAGCCTCCAGGCCTTTAATCATCCTAGTTGCTCTTCTCTGCACTTTTTTTTTTTTAAGCGCCTTAGGGACATAAGGGAAAAATTTAGAATTTACCCTTTTAACGAACCCTCTGGACAATTCTGGATCTTCCTCCCCCACCCCAATAGGCACCGGCCCATTTCTCTCTTTGTCCTTCTGTTCCCGCAGCTGCCGACCTTATTTTAGCCCAGATTAAAAATCCCTCTCTTGATCCGTGAGCAAGAGAAGGTTGTTTAAATGTGATTTCTCTTCCAGATGCAAATGTGGCCGGACCTTTTGATCCTCCCACTCCATCTTGTGCTGTTTTCTGGTGGGGAAGGCCAGTTTTGGAAGGCAGCCCTCCCTTCCTTCTCCCCCCACCCCTCCCAAGTCCTGCCCACAATGTAGTCAAAGCAAGAGTGATAGCATTGGCAGGGCTCAAAAAGAGCGTTTAAAGGCTGCTTTGTGGAGCTGAAAAGAGCTGGCTGCCTTGCACCACAGGCACTGAATAGACACATCCTTAATTAGCAGAGCTTCATCAAGGAAGCTAATGAGGAGAGGTAGAGGGAAGACCGTTTGGGAACATGCTCCAAGAGAGAATTGCCCCATTTTCTTTCTATTTGTAAACTCTGGGCCATTCCAGCAGTTCTGAATAAGCAGATCCTTAAAAAAAAGAGAGAGTGAGAGAAAAGAAAGGGAATCGGGTTATGGAACAGTGTTTAAAGAATATCTTTCAACAAGGCAGCGAAAAAAGGGAGAAGAAAAGAGGCAGCCGAAGGAAGAAACAGCCCTTTTGGCTGTCTATGCACAATTGGCCAGAGTTGGCACTTGCTGATTTCCCCCCCACCCCTTGCCAAACTCCTTTTTAACTGGCCTGGGGGTTTGCCTTGGGCAGCCTGTGGTGGTGTTGCAGCCTCGTGGAATTATTTAATTGGATTAAGAAAGGGGGGGGGAAGAAAGCTTGTCCCATTTCTATATTGGCAACAGGCAATCAAGCTCTTTCAATGACCCACTTCTGGAAGAGATTGTGGAGTGGCCTTTTGCACCATTGACCCACAATTAGGGGACACCAAATTGCTTCCCATTGAGGTTGAAGAAGAGCAAGAAAGATTCCACCAGCATCTGCATTTTGCTGGTTAGGCAAAATTTGAGGCACCCGTTCAGTGCGGGCCATTGCTTGAATTGAAGTTCCCAGCCTTGTGAACTTTCAGCTGGGTGGGCTTCAATTCCCAGAATTCCCCAGCCAGCATGCTTTGAAATGCTGCACCAATGCAGCATGGCTGGCTGGAGAATTCTGGGAATTGAACTCCACTCATCTTAATGATAATAACAATAATAAAGTTGGAAGGGACCTTGGAGGTCATCGAGTCCAACCCCCTACTCAGGCAGGAAACCCTATACCATCTCAGGCAAATGACTGTCCAGTCTCTTCTTAAAGACTTCCAGTGTTGGAGCATTCACCGCTTCTGGAGGCAGGTTGTTCCACTGGTTAATTGTTCTAACTGTCAGGAAGTTTCTCCTTAGTTCTAGGTTGCTTCTCTCTTTGATTTGTTTCCATCTGTTCCTTCTTGTCCTGCCTTCAGGTGCTTTGGCAACCCTGGAGATATTGGAACCTGCTATCATGTCCCCCCTCGTTCTTCTCTTCATTAAACTAGACATACCCAATTCCAGCAACCGTTCCTTATATGTTTTAGCCTCCAGTCCCCTGATCATCTTTGTTGCTCTTCTCTGCACTCTTTCTAAAGTCTCAACATCTTTTTTACATCATGGTAACCAAAACTGGATGCAGTATTCCAAGTGTGGCCTTACCAAGGCATTGTAAAATGGTATTAACTCTTCATGTGATCTTGATTCTATCCCTCTGTTAATGCAGTCTAGCACTGGGTGCCTCCATGTTACACATCTGGAGTTTACAAGGTTGAGAAGCATTGCTGTATGGCCCTGTTTTTAATACTTCATGACTGATCTTTTTAATTTTGAAGTTGCAATTCCCCATTCATTCATTAAGAAGTGACTGAACAGCCAGCTCTTGAGAATAAAAGTCCACATTCTGGATAGAGAGGACTACTGTTTTGAAAGAGGGGTAAAAGAGGCCACCTATGTTCAAACTGAGCAGCCCTCTCTCAACCAAGGTGATGGGATACAACACCATCTATCTCCTGTCTACAACCACAACGGTCCTTTCCGGCAGTTCCAAGAAGATTCCACACTGATTCACTTAATAAATGTGACAAGAAAGGTCGCAAAATGAGACAAAACTCACTTTACAATTGTCTCACTTAGCAACATAACTTTTGGACTCAATTGTGGTTGTTAGTCGAGAACTACCTGTGCTTGGTTTTCCTGCGGATGGCGAAGGTCCCTTCCAACTCCATATTTCTGGTTTTATGACTGGGCTGAGTAGGGAATCTACCACCACCAAAATTTAGGTCACTCTGAACCAAGGGAGGTAGTTTTGGGGAAACCAGATCAAGTCACCTTTCCATGGGTTGCAGATCTGTTGCATTTTCATAATTTCCAACTAGCATGATGCCAGAGTTCAGCTAAACTCATTTTTTTTCCGCTGGGTTTTGCTTCTTTTGTTCACTAATTGCGTCTCTGTTTTACTCTGTCCAGTCCCTGGGCAGCTTTATGAAATCAAGCTGGTAGCTTTCAACAAACAGGAAGATGGCTATGCAGCAGTGTGGAAAGGCAGGACCGAGCGAGCACCAGTAACCGCAGCTGGTAGGTATCTTCTTGTCAACTGTTGAATTAAAAAGAATATTTACAACTGCTTCAAACATAAGCTTAAGCCTGGGGTAGGCAACCTTGGCTCTTTTATGATCCTGGCATAACCTATTCAAAAAGTGAGCTTAAAGAACATTATTTGGTTGGCAGCTATTTGCTTGAGTTTAGAATGTTTAAAGCATACAATAGTTGGTTCTTCTAAAGTCAGTGATAAAATAATTTCCTTTAATGAGGAATCCAGCTAACTAATGATCCTGAAGCTCAAGAGAGCCATGGAGGAAATAGATTTGGCTAAATCTTGAGATAGGCAGAACAATATAAATGCATATATATAGCTTCACTCTGAGGACACTGGCAGTGGACCAGCGAAAGCTAAGTTGTTTTTTAATATTGTAAATAGTTGTTTTCATTGTTTTTTTTAAAATCTTTTTAGCAATAAACAACTGGTTTATACCTCTCCCGGAGATCGAAGGAGATTTTGGGCTCAATTGTAGTCACAAGTCAAGGATTACCTGTACAGTATTTTATGGTTGACTGTGTCTAACATGGCCACCATTTTGTAAGTGGGGAAGCCCATTCTCTTGACAGCATTCTGTTTTGTGAGAGTTCCCACAATGTCTGTTCTCTGAACGCCAAAGGAGAACAGCATTTGGTGTATAGAACCTCATGACAAGAAACCTAGCCTTATAAACAATGGCTGTAACTGATGCTGGTCCTTCCACATATGTATCCGTAGCTCCAGGTGTATTATTTCCATCTCCTTCTCCTCCCCCTCCTCCTCCTCCTCCTCCTCCTCCTCCTCCTCCTTCTCCTCCCTGATTATCTTCTCAGATCTTCCAGTTCAGAAAGGTCCCCCACCACCTCCTGGCCATCTCCATGTTGATTCCAATAGTTCCACAACAATTTGGTTGCGGTGGAAGAAACCCGACTTCACCACCATGAAGATTGTCAACTACACAGTCCGTTTCAGCCCCTGGGGGTTAAAGAATGCCTCGCTTGTGATGTATTACACAAGGTAGGAGCATCCTCAGCAGTGTAAGTGATCATCACAAGGATCGCGATACATTGCACAAATGAAGTCATTTGGGTCATGTCATGTCGTCATAGTTGGGTCGTGGACAGTTGCAAGCAGAACCAATGTGGGGGCTTTTCTTAGCAAAGAATTAAAAATTGACTTTTTTTCTTATTGGAACCATTCAGACCATTTTTTGAGGAGCATTCATGCTTTCTCTTTTATATTACACTGTTTATGGAGATTCTTAGTCATCCAGGTCTTGATTGTCCCAAAGGTCCTTTTTCAAGAAGCAACGGGACTTCCTTTGTTTTTCTTTGAAGACTTTTTGCTTCTCATCCAAGAAGCATCTTCAGTTCTGAAAAAAGCTTCTGGGGTGAGAAACGAAACGTCTGCAAGGAAAAACAAAGTCCAGTTGCCTTTATATTACAGTATTTAGCTTTCTAAGTTGTTTTGGGATACTTTAAGATACTTTAATCTTTCCTTTTCTTTTATATAACCCTGACTAGACTTTCTAGATATCCAAGATCAACCCAGAGAAATCTCTTTGGGTAGTTGTCGGATTTTCTGGCCCACCAGATTTTAATCTGTTTTTACATCCCGTCGATAAAATAACAACTAAATCAGAAGTTGGTAAAGGCCCCACACTGGCAACCGAGACATTTCCTTCCCTTCCAGCCCTATCTTTCTATGACTCTGCCATTCAAAGGCTGCCAAAAATCTTGCCAGTCTTTGAAGGACACCCGCTCCTGTGATCACAGTTTCATCCTCTTATGGGAATTTTTTTCTTCCTCTCCGCAGCTCTAAAGAAGATGTTCTTATTAGCGGACTGAAACCCTTCACAAGATATGAGTTTGCAGTGCAGTCCAATGGTGTTGGGATGGACAGTCCGTTTGGAAATGTGGTGGAGTGCTTCACCCTCCCAGACAGTAAGTCTAGCAGCCTGAAATGTTACCTGAGGATGGGAGGGGAGGTGGATGCAAAAGAGAATATTAATTTTAGTATTAGTAGAAAAGGTGTCCTCAAAAAAAAGCCCACAAGATTCTAGTCTTTGTTTTGTTTTGTTTTATTACTTTACTTTACTGTACTTTACTGTACTTTACTCTACTCTACTCTACTCTACTTTTAATTTTAGATAGACAGACAGACAGACATGTAGTAGTCTTACTAGATATTTTGTTCATATATGGCCCTAGGGCTGGATTGGATTGGATTGGATTTAGGAAGGAATCTGGGGACGGGGGAAAGAGTGTCAGAGATTCACCCAGCTCCCCTTCTGCTTGCTTGCTTTCTGTCTCCTGTTGCTTCTGCTGCTCTCCTGTAGGGCCCTCGACTCCCCCCTCTGACCTGCGACTACACCCTATCAATCCATACGCGGTCCAGCTTCACTGGTGTCCCCCCTTGGAACCGAATGGCATCATTGTGGAATATGTCATCCTCTACAATGCCAACTGCACCCAGCCGGATGAGATGTGGACTCTGTTGACCAAAGAGGGTAAGATTGTGTCCACTAATGCACAGAGACATCCAAGGTTGTCTGCAAGAGGAGGGGGTGTCCAAAATTCAAGAAGTTGACCACAATCCTGCAATTGAGCTCCCACTCTTTCTTTTGTTAAGTTTGATGAAAAGAACGACTAGGATTGACACACTAGCAGTGTTCCAATGTCTCAGAGGCTGCCACAGAGAAGAGGGAGTCAAGCTATTCTCCAAAGCGCCTGAAGGCAGGACAAGAAGCAACGGATGGAAACTGATCAAGGAGAGAAGCAATCTAGAACTTAGGAGAAATGTCCTGACAGTTAGAACAATTAATCACTGGAGGCTTTTACGAAGAGATTGGACAGCCCTTTGTCTGGAATGACATAGGATTTTCTGCCTGAGCAGAGGGTTGGGCTAGAAGACTTCCAAGGTTCCTTCCAACTGTGTTAGTCTGTCTTTTTTTTTTTATGGGCATCACTTTTCTGAGCTCCTCCCTGCGGACATCCCTGGGGAGCATCGGTCTTCTGGGCAGGAAGAAAGCAGCTTCAACTTGCAGCAACCTTGGGGCTGGAATATTGGGATCCGATACCACATCCAGAATTCCTCTTTCTTCAGGCAGTACTTTCAGCGCTGAAGTTAACGGACTGGAGAGTGACACCAGATATTTCTTCAAGATGGGAGCCAAGACAGTCGTAGGATTGGGACCCTACTCTAGTGTGAAAGATGTGCAGACCTTGCGGGAGGGACTCACAGGTAACGGCTGCTGGCTTCTCTTAAAGTGGAATGGAATGGAATAGAATAGAATAGAATAGAATAGAATAGAATAGAATAGAATAGAATAGAATAGAATAGAATAGAATAGAACAGAACAGAACAGAACAGAACAGAACAGAACAGAACAGAATAGAATAGAAACACTGTGGTATGTCTTGACATGGAATTGACACCATGGGGACCCAGGATCAGGTCCCTTCTCAGCAACAAAAAGTTCATGGGGAGGGTTTTAATCAGTCCCTCCCTCCCTCTCTCTCTTCTAGGAGGGTTGTTAGGGGGAAGAAAAAGTCTTCCTCTCTTCTTCCTCCTCTTTATGTTCTCCTTTGTCCTTTACCTGCAGATATCTTAGTTCATTCTGTCACCGGGGTCACGGTAGCAATTTGCCTGCTTTGTATTGTCTTCTGTGCCTGCGCCAGCTTTCGCAACAATAACCTGAGGTAAATTGTGTTTCAGCGATGCCTCCAACACATGAGCCCAGTTGTCTGCCTTCTCTTCTGCCCGCTACTTGTGTGCCAGGGTGAACGTTGTTAAAGAATTGGGAAGTGTGGAATTGATGACACCCTATCAAGATGGGGAGGGATCATTTTATCTTTAAATGCCCCCATGTGAAAACAAGGCCACCAAGCAGAACAATAACTGTCTCCTTCCTTTCTGCAGGAAATCTGTGCCTGGTTTGGATTCCCAAGTTCCAGGAAGCCATATGTATCACCACCGGAACCGACAGGCAGCAGAGCCCCTATCGGTGATCCCATCAACTTCTCATGAAATGGAGTCCCTCATGGCTCCCCTCTCAGATGGTGCCCCCTCACCTCCGAGTGATTCTGCAGAGCTGACTGAAGCCCATGGTCTCATCCGTGCTAGTCCTCTGGAGGACAATGTGGGCCACATTCCAATAAAGGTATGGTCGGGATCCTTTCATCGTGTTCTATGGGAACCCATTCTTCTTCTGGAGAGGTAGATCCTGTAGATTTTTTTATCCCCCTCATCGCCACCCCAGCTCTGGTGAGTTCTCTGATTCTTCTTTGACTTTCTCTGGCCAAGCTGTTTATTTTCCAGGAAGCTTCCTTTCCTCCCAGCTTAGTTCTTCCTAGAGTTTGTCGGGAGCATTTCATTTCATGAGGGAATGTTTAATTGGCCTAATTTACCTCATCTGTTTCTGTTTACCTTTGTACCCTATGGAGAATGCATAAGGTAATTATGGGATTGACTAAAACAAATGTGAGAGGAGCCGGTGGGATTTCCCATTTGCATCCCTTACCCACCCCTAGATCCTCAGCCGACACCAAAGTCATCACCTCAGGAGAAGAAGCAGTCAGATTGGAAGCTAGGGAAACTAATTGGTGGATGCTTAACATGGAACACAGAATCATAGGACTGGGAGGGACCTTGGAGGTTTTCTAATCCAACCCCCTGCTTAAGGCAGGACACCTTATACCATCCCAGACAAATGATTGTCTAATCTTTTCTTGAAGACCTCCAGTAATGGAGCACTCACAACTCCAAGAGGTAAGCTTTTTCTGTTGAGTAACTGTTCTCACTGTCAGGAAGCTTCTCCTTCGTTTCACGTTGAATCTCTTTAATGACCTTCCACCAGGGAAATGTCCTCAAATAACACTGGGTCCCTGTGCTAAGAAAAGGAGATGAGCACTGCTCCCTAGAGACAGACATGACCGGCCAGCGAAACCTTTACAGGAGTGGCCCCCAACTTTTTGGGCACCAGGGACCGGTTCCATGGAGAAATATTTTTCTGCGGACCAGAGGGGGCGTGGTTTTATGCACTGCCTGCATTCCACAGATGGGGCTTCGCTTTTTTGCATGCCGTGGCCCGGTACTGGTCCATGGACCAGGGGACCCCTGCTTTACAGTACTTTTACCTATTATAACTTCAGATGGTTGCTCAAATGAATGGTTGTAAGTCAAGCCCTACCTGTATTGCCTTCAACTGGCCCTGCCCCCCACTTTCTTACCCTCCTCCCCACTCCTTTTCCCATTTAAAAGGTTCACTGATAACTTCCAAGTCCAGCATTTACAAATGTACTAAAAGCACAAATGCACACACCGACTCTAAAAGCAGTAGGTCCTGCCTGCATCTGTGTAGCCACCAGAGGGAAGCAAATAGACTGCTGAAAACTGAAAGTTGACCCACTAAGACATGTTCATGTGCTGGTGTCTGTTTGTGTTTATGTCTCCTGCTGAAGTTGTTCTTTTAGTATCTTCCAGAAATACAATAGTTGTCAACTAAAGGAAGTGAAAAAAATACAATGTTGTTTTGAGTGGGTTTTCCAGATGCCATGTTGAGTTTTTTTCTAGCCAAAGCCTTTTTCTTCATCCAGATCTGTTGTCTTGGGATCTTTAGAATGAAGTTGTGATTGTGTTGTTATATATTATGCTGAGAACTCTTGTAAAGCACTGTAAAATTAAAGAAGGAAGAGCAAATAAAATAGCCTTAAGCAGATAACTACAAGTATGGGATTAGAGATAATGTGCCTTTTCTTTTGCTTCTGCAGCCTCCGCGGGGGAAATCTCTGAACAGCTGGACAAGCGGCATCGCTGGCTATGGAGTCTCAATTCCAAAAGAGCCCACCATGGCTTTGAATGGATCACTGAAGATGGTCTCCAATGGAGGACAGAAGCTCTTGTTGCAAGCTCTGGTTTACGAGGTTATCACGGTGTGTATTCCCAGCATGAAGACAGGGGGTTTTTTTGTCCATAAGGGGAAGGAGACCCACCACTTAGTTAAAAGACTAACATTACCCGTGGAGAGGGTGAAGTTGTCTTAAGGCGCTCAGCTTCACTTATAATACTGGTTGTCTGATTTATCGTGCTTTGAGCAGAGCATTGCACTCTTTGCAGGAGCTGTGCATCATTTGGTTGTTTCTGCTCTGGATTTTGTGTATGGCCCATCAAAATAAAATAGCAAAATAAACTCCCAGCCTCCTGATGGTTTCCTGGTATGCTAAATAGTGGGATTCTGAAAGTAGACAAGTCACAGCTCACCTGGCTAAGAATTATGGATGTTCTAGTCCAAGCAACTATAAAAAATGTCAGGTTAAGGTGCACTAGCATCTTTCTCCTGTGTCTACTTTATGCTTCCTGGGTAGGCCCACTTTGAAACATGTTCTTGCTCACTCCTGTCTGAAGCAGTGATGCTTCAGATAGGAAGGTGGTGCAGAGAGTGGTGAGGACAGCAGAACAGATTATTAGCAGTTCACTCCCTTCCATCCAGGCGTTGCTTGAGCAGAGTCCTCAACATTGTCTGGGACAGTACACATCCTCTTCACGACCTATTTCTCTTGTTACCTTCTGGGTGGAGGGGGCTCCATGGTATCCGAAGCAGAACATCCAGATTCAGTCACAGCTTTGTTCCATACAGTATTAACCTTGTGAATTGTAAAGCTTCTTTCTTTCATTATGCATTCAAGATGGATAGCGATTAATATTTATATGTTACTTATATGTAAGGGTGTAGGTCTATACATATGTCGTATATAGTATGTTTTTAAACAAGTGTTATGTTTGTGTACACTTGAGAGCAAGCAATTAAATTTCATTTTCAATATGTGCCATTGTGCCCACAGGGGAAAAAATGACAATAAAGGTTATTATCATTAAATTGGGATTTTTGCTCTAACAGGGAGTTGGGTTTGTTGGTCTCGGTGGCCATATCTATCTGTACACTTCTAAGAATCCTTGTTGATTTTTTTTACTCCTAAGAATGAAGCAAAAAAGGAGCACCCACCCAGTAGCCTCAATCAACTGGAAGCTGAGGTCATTGTCCATTCGGATTTCTTAGCCTCCAACCGAGATTGTGGTTCCCAACTCCACATGCTGGACCTGGAACGGACTCCCTGTGAGGATGGTGAGCCAGAATCATTCCCTATAGAAGATCTACCTGAACAGGTTTCTTATACCTCCTCTCAGCAGGATCTCAGTGTTATATCCCGGGACCAAGATGACCAGAGTGAGCCTGAAGCAGCTGATACGTTGCTAAAGATCAAGAAAGAGGCTCGCCAAAGAGCTTCCAAATCACATGGAACAGATGGAGGGCTCCCCCAATCTGGAGGGAGTGGGGACTCTGAATCATCTCACAAAGGGGAAGTGGACACACAGCCCATCTTGTGTGATGCTCTTCCCATGGCCCAACCACAAGGCCTTCTGTATGGTGGCCTCGCTAGTATAACTGACTCGCCTTTGGGGTTTGAAAATGCAGCATGTGTCCACCACCTTTGATGAGAGCTTTGATTAAATTCTCAGCCATGGCAGAGCTAGGAGAAATGTAATAGCTATTAAGACTTAGGCCTTCATGGCACTAAATTGCCTCATAACTCGCGGTTTGGAAGGGAAGAGTATTAGCTCCCTGTGATTTTATAAGGAGGACCTTCCTCCCACTGAGTATTGTGTTCCGCTCTCTCTCTCTCCTTTCTTCCCAAGCCACTTTGCATCAGCTACTGAGAATCGGTGAACTTCATACCAATCATGAGTTAATGTTGTGTTTCACAAGATTCAGAAGTAGGCACCATAAGGCCCATAGGCCTCTTTCCAGCCCACCCACTACATACACCATTTTACTACCAGGCTGCAGCTGTCACATAACCAGTTGCTTTGAGAGGAAGATTGTTTCATGAGACATCATGAGGTTGGTCCTGGAGCTGATCTGCTCTTCTGAATGGTGTATCAGATCTTAGGCACCATTCTTCTACATCTCCAAAGGGTGAAATGAAGCAGAGATGGAGAGCAATAAATCAGATGGCCTCAGAAGATTCCATAGAATCCCTTGTTCTGCTTTTGTAGGTGCTGATGTAGGACTAAAGCCAAAGGCATTTTTTTGCCAGCACTGTTTTACTAAAAAGAGACATCAGTTTCCAAACACAACACAGTCCATCATGAACTGTGAAAAAAATAAATTTGCATTAGGCTAATATACATTTGTATTTTTGCAAGGATCTTTTGATTAGGATAATTGTGAAAATATTTTCTTTCCCAGGTCTCAAAAACCTATCAGTTTTGTTTGACTAAAACCATCAAGTCATTTTTAACTCCCTTCAAAATCACTGCCAGTCTCTAGGCGAAGACTGTTTCCACACAATGCACCAAGGCAAAGTAGGGTTTGTTCATTTGTAGCTTAAGCATGTTGAGTGACCCCCCACCCCACCCTTATGGTGTATAATCCATAGGTTATTGCTGAATGTGGCTTGCCAACCTAGCTAGTTTAGTTAGCAAACTCTGATAAAGAATAACTTGGCTGAGCATGTTGTGTGAACTCAGACACTGAATCAGAGGGATATTCTCAATTGCCTGGCTGTGATTTTCTTTCCTATTAGCTTCGAGATGGTTAGAGGTTTAGCTGAACACTCAGTAAATACATCAATCTTGTCAGCTTCCTACTAGCATGTTCTGGCACTGTGGGTTTGATGCAAAGTGTTGGCTAGTGTAAATCACATCAGGACAACCTGCAGATGTATTTTGCATCAGATGTGCGTTAGTCTCCCAGAGATGCCTGAGAGATGGACTGTGACTAGGAAATGTGTCATGCAACCACTGTGTTTGTACCTTAGCTCCAACAAGAAAAGAACTGAAGGCTTTCTTTATGATTTGGTCTCATTTTTTGGCCAGTGTTCCCCTCTAATCAGAACTGCTAAGTTATGAAAAGTAGCATTAGTGCTGCATTGAAAAACCTTCAGCCCAATGGCATTCTCTTGAAGTAAGCATGATGTGGAACATAATTTACATTCCCCCCAATTCTGAAGGTGGACCATTTTGTATGAACCAACTTTCAGTGATGAGGTTTTTAAAAATGATACATGGTTTAGATTCAGGAACAATGCAGTGGACTGTCTCTATTTGTCCTAGACTTGAAGACCCCACTACTGATACTTTTCTTGTAATGTATAACCCATTGTGTAAATCCATTCCCCAGAGATTAGCAGAGAGTCCTCAGCTGGGGAGATCACCAAGGTCTTAGAGCAATCTTGCAGTGGCTGCCGGAAAATGTGGACGTTGTAATCTTTATGAGTAGTATGAACCTACTCATTTGGTTGATTTTATTATCCATGGTTAAAGAAACATGGCTGAGGATGATGCAAGAACCACAGGTTTTCCTCCATCATCTGGTTAAGAAGATTTGACCTTCATGGAAGTTCCTTGTTGTTGTGGCTTCAGTCTGCAAGACACTGAAACAATTAACCTGCTTAGGCTTTGAGATAGGCCTGGAGCACACCATACACTAAGCCAAAATCAAACTATCTGAATTAGCCACGTATGTTCAGCCAGCCACTTGGTTTGTAAATCATGCTTTATAACCAGCCTCTTTTTCCAAAGCCAACCACTTGTGGATTCTTCCTTACACCATGGTGAAGCAAGCTTTGGTGGATCTTGCAAACCTAGCCTTATCATTGTGGTCCGAAATGGATTGGACCCTCTCAGACTGAGGGCTGTTGAAGATTAGCCCTCTTTCTGTGGAATCTTTTGAAGAACTAGACTCAGCCATGTTTGTGGAGATTCTCAGTCATCCAGGTCATAGTTGTCTCAAAGGTGCTTTTCTAAAAGGCAACTCAACTGTTTTTTCCTTGAGGAAGAAGAAGAAAACATTTTGCTTTCCTCCAAGAAGCTTCATCGGTTCTGGCAGGGTGGTGGGGGCTATGGAGGGATTCAACCATGGTTTTCCATTCTGATGCAACCCATTTTCTCAACCCCGGTGGTTCCTTTCTTGAAATGCAGCATTTGTTTTTTTAAAAAAAAGTGGTGTTGGCTTTTCCCCTCATGTCTTTGGGGTTTTTTGTCACAGATCTTCCTTCCGTGGCGTAACATGACTCTTTTGTAAAGTAGGCGCTGCAGTTTCTTATTACACACTCTGCAAGTGCTTCTAACAGCTTGTTACTGAAAACTTGAGAAGTTTCTTCAGCCTCCAGGGTTGCCTCACCAATCTGTGCATTTAGGTTAAGAGGCTATTGGGGACTTTCCCCCACACCAGCCCCATTGAAGTGGCTGGGATCTACGCAGGATTCCCATTCTTTGCATTCAATTCGCAGGAGACGTTTCTGCCAACTTAGGCCTCTGAATTCTTGTACCTAATATTTTAGGTATTGGATCTGTCTCTTCCCTCCTTTTTTAACGTATGACAGTGTATTTTTTAATTTCTTCAGAGCACCTTTATATTATTTAATTTTGTATAAAAGAGAGGAAAAAAATAATAGTGTGTGTGTGTTCTAGCGTAGCCTCTTTACACCTCTTCTCTACTGTGTCTTCCCCCTTCCCCTTAACACAACTACCTCATGCTGGTGTTTTTTTGTTTGTTTGTTTTTTAAATGAAAATAAAGCAGTAGATTTTGCTCTTTGGTCACACTTTCTTCTTTCTTTTTGTCTCCTGCTTTAAACGTCTGTAGAATTCACTGACACAGGTGATGATAAATGTCGCTAAACAATATCAGAAATGGCCTGGTTTTTGTTGTTGTTGTTGTTTTTTAAAAAAGAACACATAATGATCGAAACATAGTTAATAGCAACACATTTAGATTGCAGGGAGATGTTTTGTGACTTTGGAGGGTCCAGCAACACTTTCTCCAGCAGAGCCAGGTTGAGGCCAAAATGCCCTAAGCACAGCCCAAGAATAGTGTCCCTTGATCTTTCCATTTATTAAGGACCAGACATTAAAGCTCAATAAAGGCTGAGAATAAAGAAATAGTTGAGGGCGTGATAGCTAGAAACTCTGTGGTGCACCCATCCCTTGAGGCCCTAAATATGTTCCTTAACGGTTCATCCAAGGTTGCCTTCATCTTAGGAAAAAAGAGAATTGGGCATTAGGTTGGTTCAGGGGTAGGCAACCTTGACTCTTTTATCCCTGAGCGTAGCTGGCTCAGGAATTCTGGGAGATGAAGTGCATGAGTCATAAAAGAGCCAAGATTGCCTACCCTGGTTGATACAATAAGATAAATCCAATTCAATACACCAAGATAAATCCAATTGGAGGTGATATCCCTGCCCCAAGACCATTACTCCAAATTTCAGCCAAATCACCTTTAGATCCAAAGCTAAGTGCCAGAGGCCTTGCTCAAGAGTTGGCCATTAAATTCCATCAAGGTGTGTGTGTGTGTATGTGCATAAGATCATAGTTTTTAAAATGTGCCATAATGATCTGAATGCATTAATAGACATAAGGGCTCTTGTTATTTCGGTGGGCTTAAGGACAAGTTTATTGTAGGAAGCGAAGTGCATTTCATCATAAAACTCAGAAGTCTACTATCACTTTGTCAGACCGACACATTTTATTTTGAATGGAGCTAACAGAAGCTAATGCCTTTTAATAAATTCAGAGCATATGAAAAGGTGTCAGCAAAAGCCCCATTTTAATCATTAATATTTTATTTCTGCTTTTCCTCCGCCTTTCAAAAAATTAAAGTCATCTGAAGAGACTGCCACTTTTCACTCATTTCTGTTATAGATTGTTTTGTTTTGTTTTGCTTTTTGATTGAGAAAATTTAACATTGGACAAATGTTTAAAAAGTAGAGAACAAGAAATCATATACCCTGAATAAAAACAAATGGTAAAAATAATGTTTAAAATGTATGGAGATTTCCACAAATGTAAATATGGATACATCTGTTATGTTAAAAAGAAATACAACTTCTTTAATATCCATATTCAACATTTCTACTCAGGATAGCTTTTGCACAACAAAAATCTCTTGGGGGAAAAATGCTGACTGCATTTGAATAAATCATGGATGTTTAAAGATATTATACTTGACTATGTCCTGTATCCTTAGTTGCTGGGGTTTTCAATGTTACTAAATTTGACCAATCCAATTAAATGCACTTCTTCAATTTCCAGTATTCTATAATTACAAAGTTTTCAGGCAGCATCACAAACAAATCAGTTTCTCATGTTTGCATGAACAAAAATGCGTTAGAAAATGTGAACAAATAAACCAATAGCAGAATTAACTGTGAAATACAATTTCTTGAAATCCTTTGAACTGAAAAGAATGAGTTACGTTTTGACACACACGAGTGTTGGCTTACAACTCTGACAACAACATTTAGAAAAGCTCCAATTTATACAGGGTATTTCATAGTTTGATGCCCCCATGTGATCTTTAATGCCAGTTCATGAAACTGCTGGAACAGATTTTAAAAGTGTGTTGTGCTATAATCCGTTCCAATGAGATCCCTTGAGTTCAAATCTCAGTTCATTCTCTGAAAGTTTTATAGGGCTTCACCATAATATCAAAAGAGATGATAGATAAGAGATGATAAACATGATAGAAATACAGATGATAGATAATTGATAGATGGAAAAAGATATAGATAGATAGATAGATAGATAGATAGATAGATAGATAGATAGAAGACAGACAGACATCATAATATTACAAGGGATTCTCTTAAATTTAATTAAAGGTAATATCTACAGTATTAGCCTTCAAACATTGTTCTAATCAAAATGGACAAGATCTAGTTAACATACTAGCAATTATTTAACAAATGGTTTGAAAGCAAGTAAAAACAGTTATAGATCATTCTGCAAGGAAAGAAAAATGTACTAATCATTTTGCAACATTAATTCAGCTGTGACCTATTGCTATCAATAATCAAGCTCCTTAATTGTGTAACGTCCATTATCTTCCCATTCTTCCTATTAAATATATAAATACCCACCTGTTAAAAGATGATCTTAAAAAACAGGAGAAAAGAAAAAACAGAGTCAAAAATCATTTCACTGAGATAATTGGTTGGGTTTGCATTGTTATGATCTTTTCAGCCACAGTTTAATTTCTAATTCATACTGCAGTGCCTGGAATTATACCATGCCACAAATGATCATAAACCACAAACAAATTTAACCCAGCTAATGCCTCTGTTATTAAGTTACTCCTTTAAAAAAATGATGAAATGTATAACTCATGCTAAACAACTGCCTATTGTCTCTAAGCCATGCTTCCCAGCTTAGCATAATGACTGCTTGCACAAAACATGAATTACCTCCATGTATAGTTCACCCAAGTCAATAAGCCAGTAGGGGTGACTTGTTCTGGATAGATGTGCTGTGTTTACATAGTTGTTAAGTCTTTAGATTAGGAGTTCCCAAACTTGGCAAATTTAAGACATGTGGACCTCAACTTCCAAAATTGCTGGCTGCGGAATTCTGGGAATTGAGGTCCACATGTCATAAAGTTGTCACGTTTGGGAAGTCCTGCTTTAGATCATGCTTTGTGGACCGCTAATATTTCTGGTATTCTGGTTGATAGAGGTAAAAAGCCCTTTTTTGAGATCCGCAAAACCACATGCTTAAGGTCCCTCCTTCACCTTCTCATCCCACACAGAAAAAACCCTGATCTCTTCAGATAAGCTCTCAGAATCCATTTTATTTCAAGGTCTTCTGTCATGTCAGACCAAGTTGTCCTGTCAAAGCATCCTTGTAGGAACAAGGACCATTAAAAATCGACTAAATTCCATCAAGCTTTTCCCCCCAAATCAACTTTGGATTATTATTTTTTAAAAGGAAACCAGATAGAATCCATTCAGGCTTGGCTAGCATTTACCTGTACAGATAACATAGCTCCCAGGTAATCTTTTTATAAATTGCAAAAATGTGCCATCTTGGTCTGGGAGACCCTAGCTGTTTTATGGAGTGGTGAGTACAGCTAGTGAGTAGCTTCTTACATTATGGTGAACCATAATGGTGGTTTATTTGATTTGGGTTAGCATGTGATACAGACCTGTCTATTGTGAGTTGGAAATCATGGTTCTGGCTTACAATTTAGCTAGTTGTGATTTATTTAATTATCCACTATTAGCAAAACAACGGCTTGTGTGATGCCAGAACTCACAACTGGGTGTTCCTGTTCATCTGTCAGGCTCAAACCATCAGGACCATAGGTTAAGTTGCAGTTCAGAGCATTTATTGCTCAAATCTATACCCAAGAATCTATCTATTCAACTAAATTTCAACACTAAATTGTCACCAGATAAGTATCAATGGAATTCAAGAGGGATTGATTAGACCATTTGTGGGAACATAATGATTCTAGACCGGGCATATGAAACTGCCAGCCCATGGGCCAGATGCGTCACACCAAAACTGCGCCCACCCCATTGCCGGCAATGGGGGAAAAGTCCCGATATGTAGCATGACATCAAGTGATGTCGCGAGTTTGACGTGCCTGTTCTAGACTGATGACTCCTTTAACAACACTTCCCAGTTCTGCCTGCTCTTCTACATCAGCCCCATTAAGCCCATTGCTAATATTGACAAAGTACTCAAGAGTGGCCTATCTTATTTGGGTGGAATGTAATTGTAGCCTCCTGCACCGAGTAACATTTCCCCCCTCTAAAAGTAGCAATTGTTGCATTTTCTGCATTTCATTCCCTTTCCTCTGGTTTTCCGACTAATTACCCATCAAAGTGCCTCTAATGCAGTTGGAATGGTTATTACCAGCTTGGGTGTAATCTGTTAGTGACAAGGGAGTGGAATTCAGTAGCCGTTCTGTGGAGCGAACTGTTTTGCTTGGCTATCTCCATCAAGGGAAGGAATCTGGTTTCAATGTCTGGTAATCCCTTGTCCGAAACGGTATTGTATGTCCTCTCCTGAAGACTTTGGCTCCTTTATAATCAGAACTGAGACTGAAACTAGATGACCAAAGAGAATAACCCATAAATGCATCGTTTTTAAGTATGAATACTTACAAATATTCCGACTGAAAGAAATGCGCCTGTACAGTATCTGGAAACTCTCTTATATAGATCAGGCAAATAGGCTGAACCACCAAATGGCATTAAGGGTAAGCTTGTGCAAGGGAAAATCCTTTGTAGAACATAAAATAACAGGATCGGAGGGGACCTTGGAGGTCTTCTAGTCCAACCCTCTGATCAAGCAGGAGACTGTATACCATTTTGGATAAATGGCTACCCAGTCTCTTCTTGAAAACCTCCAATGATTTTTGCTGAACACTATTGGTGCACATAATGAAATAATGCTGCTTGAAGGGTTTTTTTTACTTATAATATGCTGTGGATCCTTCTGCATGCCTCTTTAAGTTCCCACTGGACAGGGACCTTCCCAAGTGGCCTTCTTTTCTGCTGATTGTTTCCCCTCTTGGTTTTTCTTTCCAGTCACTTTTTGTTTGAAACCAACCAGGTAAAGAAACTCAGAAAAGTTTTGGTTTTATTGTGGGATCCCCAGCGAAACATCTGCAAAGAGGGGTGCCCCCATCTGGGAACCCCTGCACCCTGGGAAGCCCAAAGGTGCTTTTTCACAAGGTAACCGGACTTTGTTTTTCCTTGAAGATGTTTCGCTTATCATCCCAGAAGCTTCTTCAGTTCTGACTGAATGGCAGAGGATGGGAGGCTTTGTCTTCCTTGCAGTCTCCACAGACCTTCCTGGGAAGGATACTTTGTTGTTGTTGTTGTTAGTTGCAAAGTCGTGTCCGACCCATCATGACCCCATGGACAATGTTCCTCCAGGCTTTCCTGTCCTCTGCCATCTTCTGGAGTCCATTTAAGCTCACGCCTGCTGCTTCAGGGACTCCATCCAGCCACCTCATTCTCTGTCGTGCTCTTCTTCTCTTGCCCTCCATCTTTCCCAGCATTAGGCCCTTCTCCAGTGAGTCCTTCCTTCTCTTTAGATGGCCAAAGTACTTGAGTTTCAACTTCAGGATCTGGCCTTCTAAAGAGCAGTCAGGGTTGATCTCCTCTAGGACTGACTGGTTTGATCGCCTTGCAGTCCAGGGGACTCGCAGGAGTCTTCTCCAGCACCAGAGTCCGAAGGCCTCCATTCCTTGGCGCTCAGCCTTTCTTATGGTCCAACTTTCACAGCCGTACATTGCAACTGGGAAAACCACGGCCTGAACTATACACACTTTTGTTGGCAGGGTGGTGTCTCTGCTTTGAAGATACTTTGCCTCCCTCCAAGTCTGGTGTATGTGTGTGTGTGTGTGTGTCACCTGGGCACCAACCTGGCCCAACCACCAGATGTGCAGGCTTGCAGTTCCCATTATCCCTCTCCAGCCCAGGCACATGGGCACTGGAGGCCTGACCAAACAGCCACTGTTCCAGTTTTTCTCTGGTACTAGCTGGGTTTCCAGCCTGCTCGGAGCAGGGGAGATGGGTCTGCACCCTCCTCCGGGTTCGGCCTCTTCACCTCCACCGCCCGCCTGGCATTGCCCACCTCCCCAAATCTGCTCCCTCGAGGTCCTTCATTTCCCCCAGCCCCAAGCAAGACCCCCCTGGCCGAGGAGAGGTGGGGTGGTGGTCTAGGGAGTAAAAAGAACCAGGCGCACCCCATGCCCGGCTGCACGTGCGCGCGGAGGGGGGGTGGGTGGGTGTGGGGGGTCGGCTTTTTTTTGCGCCGCCTTTCGCCCCCCCCCTCCCTCCCTCGCTGCCCAGGACCGTGCGCGCCGTTCGGCTGGTCCAGGAGCCCCTCGAGCGCGGTGGGGAAAGGCGGGGGTGGGGGGGGGTCTCCCGCCCGGGCCGTCCACTTGCCCCGCCGGCCGTTGCTCGCCTTTGTTCTGCCCCTTCGCGGGCCTCCCGAGGGAGGGGCCTGAGCCGGGGGGCAGCGCAGGCGGGCGGGCGGGAGCGAGAGGCCAGGCTGGGCGCAGCAAGCGCAGCAGCAGCAGCAACGCCAGTGGCAGCCCGGAGCGCACCACGCGAGGATGCTGCCGCCCGGCAAGATGGCGCAAGGCGACCCCGGCCCCTGCCCGAGGAGGGGGCTCTAGCTCGGCCTTCGGACCCCCCGCCCCAGCCGGCTTCTCCGCCCCCACCCCCTCCCACCCCGTCCCTGCGCTCGCAGCCTCGGACGGGCGCGCTTTGTCCGCCGCCCTCGCCTCGCCGGAGCGAGGCGCCCCACCCAGCGCCGCCGCTTCTTCGGCCTCGGCTCGCCGGGGGCGGCTCCGGGCGGTGCTGGGGCTGAGCCCACCGCCGATCCCCGCCCGGAGCCCATGGCTTCTCCGCCGGCGCCGCCTCGCTCGCTCGCCTCCCCGCTGCTGCTGCTGCTGCTGCTGCTGCTGTTGGCGCTGGGAGCAGGTAAGCGCGATCGGCCCGGGGCGGCGGGTGGGGAGGGCGAGGCGCGCGGCGGAGCGGAGGGGGATCGGGGGTCGGAGAAGACCGGGGAGGCAGACGCCCTTCCGTCGGCCTTGCTTTCAACTTGGGGGCTTGGATCAGGGAAGGCGTTTCTTTCTTTCTTTCTTTCTTTCTTTCTTTCTTTCTTTCTTTCTTTCTTTCTTTCTTTCTTTCTTTCTTTCTTTCTTTCTCTTTCTTTTTCTCGTTCCTTCCTTCCTTCTTTTTCTTTCTTTCTTTCTCTCTTTCTCTTTCTTTCTTTCTCTTTTTCTCTCTCCTTCCTTCCTTTCTCTTGCCTCTCCTTCCACACCTCTTTCGCCTTCTTTCCTTCATCTTGCTCTCCTTCCATATCCTTCCTTCCTCTCTCTTGATCTCTCCTTCCTTCCTTCCTTCCTTCCTTCCTTCCTTCCTTCCTTCCTTCCTTCCTTCCTTCCTTCCTTCCTTCCTTCCTTCCTTCCTTCCTTCCTTCCCATATCCCTCTCGCCTTCCTCCCTTCCCTTCCCACCAGATTGGGGCACCCGCTCCGCACCCTACCCGACCGGTGTCCTGCCTTCCCCCGCGTCTTTCCCGCTCGTCGCGGGTGGCTGCTGGGTTTGGGATCCCCTCCCCTCCCCTCTCTGGAAAGCACATGGTTCTGTCAACAAGGCCTCTTCCAAAGAGGGAAAAGTGCCAAGGAGCAGTAAATAAAAACCGCGTCCGCGCTCCGCCTGGGCGCTGCCGGGAGCGCGTTGGAGGCGGCCGCTTTTTCGGCTCTGCGCTTTCCTCGCCTGCTGCCGCTTCTGCTTCTTTCTCCCGGACGAGTTCACGCAATCCGCTTAACCCAGTTACCCAAATAGCCCATCGCCTCGCTTGGCATAAGGCGGAAAAGCGTGAAATTAACCTGACGGGATGGCATGGCTCTGCAGCTTAGGCTAAACTGCAAAACCAGCCACGCTTAACTTGAAGGAAAATTCACCTGTCGTGTGAACGCAGCTGCCCGGGTTGCAGTGAAATACGGTGAGGAGTCCTGGGGTGCCTTGTCGGGCATGTCGGAACTGGGCAGTGCCCAGCTTAATCCGGCGAGGCAGTTGACAAGCAGAGGCCCCAGGAGTAGCTTGGCCCTGGCAAAGATATCCTGTCTTTGGACAAGGAAGATGTGTTGAGCTTCTCAGTGGCTCTGGGCTGCTGCTGGATTATAAACCAGATTATAAACCAGCCTGTAATAGTGGCATTACCTTTGATTTGGCTAATCCCTCCCATTCTCTTGTCCCAAAGCTGCTTTTTCCGAAAGGCAACTGGACTTTCCTGGTGTTTTTTTTTTCTTTGAAAAGGTTTCGCTTCTCATCCAAGAAGCTTGTTGAATGAACTGAAGAAGATTCTTGGATGAGAAGCAAAACATTTTGAAAGAGAACAAAAACTAGGAAAATCCAGTTGCCTTTTGAAAAAGCACCTTTGGAACAACCCTGACCTGGATGATTGAGAATCTCCAGAGACATCCTCCCATCCCCTTCCCTTCTTGGGACCTCCAGTAGCCCTGAGCATGATAAGAGTTCCTCCTACTGCTTCAATGTATTGAAACCAAGCCACAACTTTGCAATTGTAACTGGGAACGCCTTTATGAGTCCTCATTTTTTAAATTTCAGCCAGGGAGGTCTGCAGGGTGTGGTCGAAAAAGTCAAGATGGGGGCCCCCAACAGCATGAGTGAGTCCCCTATTTTCTTGTTTGTGACAGGCTCTATGGATTCTGAATTCAGCAAAATTGTGGGATTTCTTCTGAGCTCCGTGAACAGGCTGGGTGTATCTTCTCTTCCTCTTCTCTTCTCTTCTCTTCTCTTCTCTTCTCTTCTCTTCTCTTCTCTTCTCTTCTCTTCTCTTCTCCTCTCTTCTCCTCTCCTCTCCTCTCCTCTCCTCTCCTCTTCTCTTCTCTTCTCTTCTCTTCTTCTCTCTTCTCCTCTCCTCTCCTCTTCTCTTCTCTTCTCTTCTCCTCTCCTCTCCTCTCTCCCTTCTCTCTCTTCCCCCTCTCTTCACTTGAAGTTTCTCCTGGAGTACAATAAAAAAAAAATCTGGACATTCCTATAAATCCAGGAGACCTGAGTCACGCTCTTGCCTTTTAAAACAAATCAAGGAAACTGATCCAATGGGGCAAATCTCAAATGGGTCGGCAATAGAACGAATTTCTTTTGGAAAAGGGTGGAATCAGCTCTCCCCCCAAAGGCTGATGAATTAGATTTTCCAATTCATGCTTTGGATAAGAAAAAGAGTGATTAATGGCACCCTGGCTATCCCATGGGTAATGGTGAATTAATTAATCCAGAATAAAAGGACCGGAGGTGTAGGCACACATGCGTATAAGGAGCTGGCTATTGGTTGTAACAGCCAAAGGAGGGAGGGACATGCTCCTCCTCCCATCCCGCTAGGCAGATTTTTGGGGGGAGGCCTCTGGGTGACTTCTGTTCAAAACAGGATGGTGGAGTGCACAGACTGTGTGTCTTGGTCTTGTAAGAGACGTTTATGGTTGACTGATACAGAATTTGGGAGCAATATTGGCAGAGAGACTACATCTTATGAGGAAAAAGAAATCTAATCAAATGGACTTTACAAGGAAGAGGGGAGCATCATTTCTCCAAAGCACCTGAGGCCAGGACGAGAAGTAACAAAATTTATCCAAGGGAAATCCAACCTAGAACTAAGGAGAAATTTCCTGACAGAACAATTAATCAGTGGAACGACTTGCCCCCAGAAGTTGTGGGTGCTCCAACATTGTAGGTTTTCAAGAAAAGATTGGATAGTCATTTGTCGGAAATTGTATATAGTCTCCTGCTTGAGCAAGGGGTTGGACTAGAAGATCTCCAAGGTCCCTTCCAACTCTGTTATTCTGTATGAGTGGCACATAAGTTGACCCATCAATTTACATCTTTGAAGCTTTCTAGTCACATTGTGCCTTAACCCCCTCTTCCAGCAGACCTGGGGAAACAATTTCTTTTGCAGATCTGGGGACTTTTAAGGAGTGAATTGGGGGTTCTTTACAGCTGAGCAAGTTTTAAGGCGCTCATTTTTGGCCCTTTAATATACTTCCCTTTCTAAGTTGGCAATTTGTGACCTCATTTTGGCACCAAGCCCTGGAGAGAGTCCTTATTTACTTTGCAAGTTTGGAGCATTTGTTTGGGTAACTCTGCTTACATTTTGATGGGCTAGTTCAGAGTTACATAAAGAATTCTTTGGCACTGATACATCTGCTTTTATTTATTTGTATGTTTGTATTTCATACTTAACAGCTCATCTCCCTCAGATGGGAGACTGGTTTTCCAAGTGCTGACGAGAAAAATTCCCTGGCTGCATTATTTCCTTTGGATTGGATGATTATTGAAGATACTGAATTAGGGAAGCAAATGTCTATGGAGATTCTCAGTCATCCAGGTCGTGGTTGCCCCAAAAATGCTTTTTTCAAAAAGCAACTGGACTTTCTCGTTTTTTTTCCTTGAAGACATTTCACTTCTCATCTAACTCCTGTTTACAACACAATCCTTTCAGCAGTTCCAGGAAGGTTCCACACCCATGTGCACTATTCAGGTGACCATGAAGGCACAGATAAATTTCCAAGTGGCCTCAACAACTCTCAGAAAGAGTACTAACCCAGATGACTGCAAGAAATATAAATCCTTCCATTCTCCACCATTCAGTCAGAACGGAAGAAGCTTCTTGAATGAGAAGCGAAACATCAAGGAAAAACGAAATCCAGTTGCCTTTTGGGGGAAAAAAAGCATCTTTGGGTTTAGGAAGCAAATGTTTGATGGCCAAGGATAGCCATTTAACGCTTGGGGTGCAGAAAGGTCCATAGGCTGGAGCACTGACCAAAAATGAGTGCAGCAGCATGATGAATATTGATGTGGTTAGAATTCTTGAAGATTCTCGTGTTAGGAGGGTGCTGTTTATAAAGTGCTGGGGAATAGTTTTTCAAATTGTGCGGAAGCTATTTTAGGATTTGGGGACTTAGACTAATGTTTTTGAGGGATACCAGCTGTACTCATTTAGCAGCCAACGTCTCAAAGGGGCAAAAAATCACCATAGGAAAATAAAAATCCTAAACTTTGGCCTGAGATTTGCAAAAGCTTTTGTCAGGACAAATTTGCAAATTTTGAATGGGCCACACCGGTTATAGGTTGCTAGTGTAATTTTATGTCATAAATTGAGGAGGGCGTTCCAGCCAGGCCACTGAAATTAAGAGGGGCAACTGGGAGGATGCAGTGCTCCAAGGAAGAGTTTCATAGGGTCTCTCGTCACCCATTTCTGCCCCAAAAGTACTCATATTGCAAATTTCTGTCTCAATCTCTGATAGGTTTTCTCTGCAAACCTTACACATAGGGAGTTCTTGACTGATGACCACAATTGAGCCCAAAATTTATGTTACTAAGAGTGACAGTTATTAAGTGAGTTTGGTCCCCTTTTACGACTGATTTTGCCATAGTTGTTAAGTGAATCTGGCTTGCTCATCAATTGTGCTTGTCATGAGGTTGCAAAAGGGGATCACATGACCCCGGGATACTGCAACCGTCATCAATACGAGTCAGTTGCCAAGCATCTGAATTCTGATCATATGACCATAGGGATTCTGCACGGCCGTAAGTGTGAAAAGCAGTCATAAGCCACTTTTTTCAGTGCCATTGTAGCTTTGAACCATCATTAAATGAATGGTTGTATGTTGAGTGGTACCTGTATACATTTTTCTAAGGACAAGACTTTAAAAGTACTTATTTTTGTTTAGGATTTTATCTGTTCTTCCAGCATGGGGTTTCAGGCAAGAGCTTCCCCCCCCACCACCACTACTTCCCCCCCCAACGTACTTCCAGCTCCAGAATTAAATGGTGTCATTTATATTTAAGTAGGGCCTCCCTTTTTAAATTATTCAAAGGTTTTAGCTTTCATTAATTCCTCTGTCTATGTAGGCTGAGTTTTGTTGTTGACGTTGAAAGGGACTGCTTTCCCTTAAA